TTGAACGCAATGCGATGGCAACGGCCTGCGCGCTTCAGATTGGCGCATCCGCGGCCACTTCTACGGCCAGGCACCAAAGTTCACTCTTGCTTCGGGTCTCCCTTGCGTGTAGCCGACCGAAAGGAAGACATGCCTACACACGCATCGACTTTCGGGGGTCTGTCGAGTTTCTTGGGTCGGCACCCGGTCCACTCGGCGACGCCGCCGGCGCCGCCCCTGACTGGCTCCGCGCGCCAGGCAGGGGGGTCCACCGCTGACCCATCAAGTCCGCGCGGGCTCCCGAAAGTTCGCGTCTGTGCGGCCTGTCGTGGAGCATGCGCACCTGATTGTTCTGATCGGCGTCGGGGCCGTCTTTGCGCCCTCTTCAGAGTCTTCTTCTTGTTCAAGACAGAGACAGAGAGAGAGGACAAAACAAATAACGAAAGAAGGCAAGCTTTCGGTGCTGCTGCCTCTATACGCCTGGCCCGTTGTCACCGTTCACCGGGCGGCGCTGTCCTCATTTTTCGGGGGGAGAACTTCAACGACCCGTGGATCTGTCGCCAGCGCGAATAATATCTTCGGATGCCCAATCCGGGTTAGCGTGCGCCCGACACGGGCACGTGCCCTGATGCACGATGTTCATGCGCGCCAGAGACGCAAGGCGACGGCCGCAGCCATCTTGCCTGTTTCAGTTTTGGGCACGGACGTGGCCCGTAGCGTTGGTCGCTCGGCTGTTCGTGAGGGCGTTTTGAAACTCAAGATGCTGACGTGTGCTTTCGTTGGAGCTGGCTGGGGGTCTGATGTGTCCCAGCATTGGTTCTGGCCGGCAGGAGGGGGGGACAGCGTCGAGGCTATGGACTCGGGATGTTTTTTTGGGCTGCCTCTGGTGGCCGTGCTTTGGCCCCGTGACCATCACAAACGAATTTGGGTGAACGATTGTACCAGATGGTCCCCATGAAGGGTCCGGAAATCGATTTTTTAGCGGATCTGGCCTTATCCCGCTTCCTGGCAGACTTCCTATTGTCCCAGCCAGTTCACAGCCGCCTCCCACGCCTGCGGGTCCGTCACTCGGTAGTGTCTCTGGCGATTTTGAATGCATTGCATGCCTGGCTTGCTCGTGGCTCGTGGGCGTCGCCGTCGCCATCGAGATTTAACAGGCCAGAATCACTCATCACCAGCAGTTGAAACAGAACATGTTTTACGTCCTTTCCTCAAGGCAGTCGCTTCTGCAGTCACCAGCCTGCACTAGCGCGAGGACTTCCCGTCCTCGGCGGCGCGCCTGGGGGGGGGGGGCAGATGGGGCCGGCCACCTGAGGAGGCTGGCCCGCCTCCGCCTGCCCTGGCCTGTCTCGGGCCGCCCCGTGTTTTTTTGTTCTCTCTCTCTCTCTCTCTCTTTTTGTGTGTGTGTGTGTTGGAAAGCTCCTCCTTGAGCCTTTAAGGCCCCGACTTTCACGTTCACTTTCAGGCTGGCCCCCTCTATCCCACCGATATCTTGCAATCCCATTGTGGCGGTGCATGTTGGAGGACAGAGAGAGCTTCTGGAGCTCCTGACCTTGCCAGAGGTCCCGGAAGGCCCGGAGCCTCACGCGTGGCGCCAGAGAGACCCTGCCAGTCCTTAGATGTTCGTTTTGGGAGCTCGCCTGGGGCCCACCCCAGGATCATATGGATTTGTTTCGCCATCTCTTCTCAGTACAGTTTTTGCTGACAATTTGTTTGCGAAGAGATTTGGCCAAGCTGGAGGAGTAGTCAGGGAGGGCTTTCACCCACAGCTGCCATTGGAATGCCCAGCTAGTTTTCTCGCTGCACGACTGGCCCGCACGTTCCCACCTAATGGCCCGCTAATGCCCCGCTGGTAGCCCACTAATGGGCCCAGCAATGGCGCACTCTTGAACTTGACCCACTAATGATCCACGGAAATGACCTGCGATTGACTCTTGACACACTGATGGCCCACCAATGATCTTCGAATGGTTCGCTTCTCATATGTCTTTCGTTCTGTCGCGGTCGCGACGATCATTAGTGCCACATCATGCGGCCATGAGCGCGCCATTCGCTCGCCAGGTCCGAGGGTACAGTGGAAGCCCATGCCAAGAAACACCCTGCTTGCCTCCAGGGTGCCTGTGGTTTCTTGGGTTTCGATGGCTTTGCGATGGGAACGGTGACGTCCCCTTTCCCAAGAATCCATGGGCGTCCTGTGGTCTCAAAGGTTGGCGTTCTTGCGGAAGATGTCTTGTTGTCGATCTGCTGTGCTGCGAGGCGGGGCCCCACCACGAGAGGAGCGGGCCTGGCGCAGGGGGGGTCGGCGGCGGCGGGAGGTGCAGCGGGCTCCCAGCCCGTGCGCCGTCGCGCGCCGTGGGGCGCGACTCCTGCCGCAGGGGGGGTGGCGTGAACCGGGGCACGGGCGGCATCCTTGCGGGAGAGTCGGGAGTGGGTGCGGCAAGGATGGGCACGAGGATTAGCATCACATACTGCCCATGCTGAACAAGCGTCGGTGTCGGCGTCGCTGCGGGCGGTGTCCAGTGGAGACGGGAGGCGGCGTGCCGCCTGCCCAAGAGCGGCCGTTGCTGGTGTGGGGCAGCGTGAGTTGTTGGCAAGTGTGCCAATGTTTGCCCGTCATGATTTCGGGCGTTCAGAACTGTTCCGTGTGGAAACAATTGCGCAGTTGCATCCACGCGCAGCTACAGTGGAGACCCATGCCAAGAAACACCCTGCTTGCCTACAGGGTGACCTGGGCTTCTTGGGTTTCGATGGTTTTGCTGTGGAAAGCGTGACGTTCTCACACCAACAAGCAATGGACGTCCTGGGGTCTCAGGGTTGGGTTTCTTGTTGAAGGTCTCTTGTAGACTGGCCTTGCATCCAGGCGCCAACTATTCTGCAAGTACTGCTGCACCTCTCCCCGCGGACACATCTGCGTCACACCCACTACTCCAGCATAGGTCACTCGGTTACCGGCATTATCTAACCGATCTCCATCTCCAATGGGACATACATGGTATCTCAGCATCAACGGGTCGCCCGGCTTGGAGGGTACGATGTATATCTAGACCTAAGGCGGGTAAGTCGGCCAGTGGGGCCAAGGCCATATCAGTGGAGAGCGGTGGCACGATGGTCATTCGCCCCAGCGGCGCGGAGCACGGCGGAACGTAACGTCACTCGAAGAGAGCATAGATGTGATCGTTTGTGTATGTATTGTTTTGCGGATCGGCGCGGGCCCTCGCACCCCTGTTCTCCCCCACCCATGGAGTAGATCTTGCCTTTTTGTGGCGCTGTTTTGAGCAGTTGGTGTCTCCCCACATAGAACGCACTGCTGCAAACAGTCGCACTAAGCAGAGGTCCGGAGCCAGACCCCCCCCCTTCCCCGTTCCGTCCAATTGCGAATCGCCGAATAAGAAGACGCTCATTATGCATGAGCATGAACTGGAGGATGGGGGGAAGGAGGAACCTATACCTCGTCGCTGCGGCTGGAATAGTCTCGAGGTGGTTGGGTCTGCGCTCCCCTCCCTGCTGCGCGGAGCGCGCCGTTGGCGGCGATGGAGGCGCACAGGAGGAGAAGGTACGCATAGCTCTACCCTCTCCTCGCTGCTTCTTTGTTGGGCCTCCTGGGCCTTCGTCGTCGCTGCCGCTGGATTCGCCTCGAATTCCTGGTCAGAACGCACCCCAGGAGAGCTCTGGGGACTGACGTATCGGTACCTGTTGGTTTTCCCAGAGGCGCCGCCGGGCCATGGAGTTCCAGCGCCGGCCCAAGCAAATCTTTGCGGATCTCCGGAAGCTCATGCTGCCCCATCCGACAGGTTGGGGTTGACATGCTGGAAGGAAAGAGCTCCCGAGCCGCCTCGCACAACCTGCATTTTCCAAGGGCGCCCTCGAGGGCGCGAAGTTATTCGCGCTTCGCGCTTCGGCTCCGATCCCTCGTCATCCCCCTCCCCTCCCCTGGGAGGCGGCGCGAGAGCGCGAAGTTGTTCGCGTTTCGCGCAGCGCGAGAGCGCGAAGTTGGGTGCCCTTGTAACTGTATTCTGTGGCCGCCAGGCCCAACGTGTGCTGGCGCTCCCTGGGTGTATCCCGCCTCGTGCCTCTAGCGACTGGCGACTGCGGCCGCCGGCCCCAGTGTGTCCCCGCGCTCGCTGGCTATCCTGCCTCGCGTGCTTAGGCGGGGAGCGCTCGCAGCAACAGACTTCACTTTGTTCGGAGGTGGATCGACCTCCTACCCTGACACGTCGATCAAGGAATTGGCCGTTTTCGGTTCGCGAGAGGCGTTGCGGCCGTCACGTTTACGGGTCCAGGTCCGTCGGTTTCGGCCCCAGGCCGTTTTCACTAAGGGGAGGTTTACTAAAGGGAGGTCTGTCCACCGCCGATTTGTGCTTTCTCTTCCAGTGACCGGGCGCAGCCTAATTAGCAGCGCAGCACGTCGCGTCTCGTGCATCGTGTGGGTGCACGCGCGCGCCCTCGCTCGTGCTTTCAGGCAGGCGCGCGCTTGCGTACAGGTGGTGATACGCGCGCGGGAACGGAAACCATAGCTCCGGTCAGTCCCGGCTGTTCTCAACAGGCCCCCCCGCGCAGTTTGGGGCGGTCTCAACGCTTAAGCGCCGTTTCCAGCAGCGCCCTGTGGGGGCTCCGCGGGCTCGAGTAGAAATTGCCCCCTCGAGGGCTTGGTATTTTCGTCTGGTACATCTTCAAGTGAAGACCCCCGTATCCCTTACATCGGGGGCGGAAAAGAGGGGGGTGATGACTAGGGGGGTGTGGATATCATGGCGGGGGCCATGACGTTTCCCCAGATTTCATGGCGCCTCTTGTTATTTCATTACGTCCCTGGCCCCCCCGCTGGGCCGCGCACATGCCGCCGGTCATGATTTGCACCCCCCCTCTTGGACACCCCCCTCTTGGCCGCTCCCGATTATAGGCTGGCCCTCCTAATTTCGGTCCCCTCACAAAGGATTCGGGTACCATTACTTTCCATCCTTCTCTCTGTCATTATCTGGCTTTATTCTCCTCTTCTCCTCGCTGCTGACACGTACGGACTGCAGGTTTTCACTACCATGACGACTGTCGGGTACGGTGACGTCATTCCCACCAACAACATGGAGCGCGTGTTCGCGGTCTGCGTGATTCTCTTCGGAGCGACGGTGTTCGGGTACATCATCAGCACCATCGCCGAGATGTCAAATGAGCACAACCGGGACGCACTAGGCCTCAACATGTCCCTTTTGCGCCATTACGGCACGGAGCAGCATTTTTCCGAGCGTATGCACAAGTTAATGCGATTCCACTACGGCTTCTGGTATCAGGAGATGACCCCTCGACAGGAGGAGTCCAGGTTGCTGGCCAAGTTGCCCCCCGCGCTGCGCAAGGAGGTGATCAAGTATATCCACAGGCACGTGATCTCCAGCATACCACTCTTCAGGAAGCAGCTCCCAGACTGGTTCGTGGTGGCCGGCCGTGTGTCTCGACGCGGGGGGAGGAGGAGGAGGAGAAGGAGGAAGAGGAGGAGGAGCGGCGGTTCTGGCGGGGATAGCGACGACTATGAACGGGACGGTGTTGGTGCGGGGAGGGGGGAGGAGGTCGGATGATGGTGATGATGATGATGATGCTGATGATGATGATGGTGGGATGACGGTGATGATGCTGATGACGGTGGTGATGACGATGGTGATTGTGATGGTGTTCATGATCATGATGTCATGGTTGATAATGCTGCTGAGGTTAGTGTTGTTGATGATGATGAGGCTGAGGATGATGATGATGATGATGAGGCTGATGATGGTGGTGGCGATGTTGCTGCTAGTGATGATGTTGCTGCTGCCGATGTTGATGATGATGAGACTGGTGATGCTGATGCTGATGATCATCATGATGTTGACAATGATGATGATAATGCCGATGAGGATGCTGATGGTGGTGATGATGGTAACGGTGATGGTGATGACGATGGCGACGATGAGGATCATGAGGATGATGTTGATGATGAATATGATGATGACGATGAAGATGATGATTATGATGAATCTGATGGTGATTGTGCTGGTGGTGGTGGCATTGTGATGATGGTGTTGATAATGCTGCTGATGATGCTCATACTAATGATGTTGATGATGACGCTGACGATGATGACGATGATGATGATGATGGTGGTGATGATGATGATGCTGATGATGATGGTGGTGATGATGGTGTTGATGCTGGTGATGATGATGGTGATGGTGGTGATGAAGATGCAGATGATGATGATGATGATGATGATGATGATGATGATGATGATGATGATGATGATGATGATGATGATGATGATGATGATGATGATGATGATGATGAGGATGAGGATGATGAGGATGAGGATGAGGATGAGGATGAGGATGAGGATGAGGATGAGGATGAGGATGAGGATGATAATGGAGAGAGCGTGATCCACCGCCGCTTTGCTGTGGAAAATTCCCCCCCCTCTTCCTCCAGAACCCGGGGGTCCCCCCCCCTCCGAAAATCCCCTCCCCTCTGCTGGACCCCCCCCCTTCCCCCCGGCAAAACCCCCCCCTCCCCTATAACCCCCCCCCTCCGGAAAACCAGGGAGGGGTCACTACCGGTTCGAACCCCCTTTCCTCCGGAAAACCGAGGGAGGTCACTACCGGTTCGAACCCCTTCCCCCCCCCTTCCCACCCTATAAAACCAGGGGGGGGGTCACTACCGGTTCGAACCCCTCCCCCCCTTCCAGAAAACCGGGGGGGGGTCACTACCGGTTCGAACCCCTTTTCCCCCCCCCTCCAGAAAACCGGGGAGGGTCACTCCCGGTTCGAACCCCTCCCTCCCCCCCCCACGCTCACCGCCAGCGAACGACTCCCGGGTCCCTACCACCGTCCGCACCACATCCCGCTTTGCTGTCCCGCACCGCACCATCCCGCAGCGCCGCGGTGATCGGGTAGGTCGACAGCTTCGTTGGTTGGCAGGCAGGGTGCTGGGCAACGGGTCCGAGCAGCGGCGGCAGCAGCAGCCCTGAGGACAAGCGAGCGCTCCTGCCAAGCGTGAAAGGAGGAGGGGAGGAGGAGGGATTGGAGCAAGAGCAGGGGGAGGAGCAGCAGGAGGAGGAGGAGGAGGAAGAGGTGGAAGTTGGTATGCGTACTGGTCTGGTTCCCCGCCCCCCCCCACCTGGCTCTGCCGCGGACTGGGTTGCTTTCGCCCTGTCGGGCCACTGTGCTCTGCTTTACTCTGTGCCTGACCTTCGCTGCAGCCGTCGGCAGCATGATTTGCACGCTACTCTGCCTCAGTCGACTTTTTTCTCATACTTTGACAAGGCGCAACAGGCGCAGTCTTCATGCATGGCCAACGTCAACAAGGAAGAGGTGGAGGAGCAGGAGGAGCAGTAGGAGGGGGAGGAGGAGCCTCTGTCCCGCCCCTCCTGTGGCTTCAGCCAGGCGGCGGCCGTGCGCCTGTTGGAGCCGCAGGCCTTCTGCGCCGGAGAGGTCATCGTCAGCGAATTTCAGGCGGGAGATTCGACCGATTCTAGCCGCAGGGACCGGCAGATTACTGAGGGACGCTGATACGGAGGCACCATCGGTGCAGACTGGCACCAACCATGTGGATGTTACCGCGAAGGTGATTCCATTTTTCATGTGGCGTCCACACAGAACAAAAAAACATGACCGAAGTCACCCCGCCGTGGTCTTGTGGTTGCATGTTTTGATAGTTGTGCAGCGCGATTGCGGAGTTCGACCCGCATGGTGTGGCGCATTTTGCATGGTTCATTTTGTATGTGTTTGACGGGTGGTGGTGGCTGGATAGGGTGTTTCGATTGGTGAGTTTCACGTCCGTTTCATGATTATTATTTTAGTGGGGCCTCTCTCAGTAGTCTTCCATCCCCTTTGTCGGAGGCTGGATTGCTATATATTTGTATTATACATATAACGGCGCACCGGGTCCGGGCGCCCGGGGCCGGCGCCGCTACCACAAATATGGGCTCCAGGGCCCTCGGGTAGCCCCAGGGCCTCACAGAAGACCGCCAGAAGGCACCAAGGAGGCCTCAAGAGGCTCCAGAATAGACCCGGGACGCCCGAAGGTCGCTCCCAGACGCCCAACATGGCCTCCAAGGCGGCTTCAGAAGCCCCCAAGACACCCCAAGCGACCCCCAATGAAGCCCCAAAGAGAGCCCCGAGGGGCCCAAATAGCCCCATTCCCTTCGTAAAACGTATATTTTAAAGATATGGCTTGTTTTCGCTGTCGGTCCGGCCGAGGACGCGCCCCAGAGGGCTCCCATTCAGCCCCAGAGAGCTCCAGGACGGCCCACGAAGGGCCCAAGACGGCCGCAAATGTGAGCCCCGGGGCCTTCGGGGAGCCCCGGGGCCTCACAGAAGACCGCCAGAAGGCGCCAAGGAGGCCCCAAGAGGCTCCAGAACAGACCCGGGGGACGAGGCCGCCTGGACGGGCCAAGGGACCACGGGGGGGCATGGCGTGTCACGGCCTCCGGGAGCGCTCACAGACGGCCCAAGGCAGTCCCGAAACGTGCTGAAACGGGCTCCAAGAAGGTTCCAAGACGGTCCAATGCAGCCCAGAGAGTCACCGAACCATCGCCTAAGACGCCCAAGATGGCCCCAAGGCGCTCCGTAACCATTTTGGCTCAAGACATTGTGGCAACTCTTCAGGAATAGGGAACATTTGGTTTGCGCCTATTGCTGCCAAGCCCCTGTTACTCCGCCGTTGCCGCAATGAACGTCGTGGTGCTTGCGGGAGCGTTCGCCATCCTGCTCGTCGGCCGCGGCTGCGTTGCCGCCGATGACTTAGCCAAGACCTCGGAGGAACGCTGCCTGATGGAGGAGGATTCGCACAACTGTGACGCCACGAACGAGGCCGACGGCGTGGGGCTACTCCAGTCACGGGCGTCGAGCCCCAGCGAACCGCAAATCGCGAACATTTGGAAGGACGCGACTTCGGACCACAAACAATATGAGGAGGCGAGAGTGGAGGATATACCGATCGATGTCCAGAACCTCAACTCAACCATGCATCGCCAGCATAAACATCCTGGCGACGTGCATCTCCGTTCCTCGGCGTACTGCACGTTGGAGTGCCCTGTAGCAAACACGCACTGCTGCGTCAAGGAGGAGCGTATCGGAGTTACTGAGACATGGGTGAGTTATCAAACTTGCTGTGTGGATGGTTGGGTTGTTCCAGGATATAAGTGCGCTCACTATAGAGACAGCACAAGGGGGTACTATTGTAATGTAAGTGATGCACGAGAATGATTGCTAATGTCTGTCGCCTTCTCGCTCAAGGCACTTGTTTCGGGGAGTCATTCTCTGAATGGCCACAGCCCTCCTCGGGGCGGGGGCTCATGGGGTCGCGGCGATCGGCGGCCAGGCGCTAGGCACCTGGCTCGGCAGCAGCAGCAGCGGGTGCGACTGCAGCTGCCACTTCGACGCCTCGCCCGACGAGGCCCTCATCGGGCTGCTGAAAGGACAGCTCGACAGGTGCGGCCCAGAGCACCTGCACGGGTAGCCGACGTTCACTCCAGCCTGCCCCGAGCCAGGGCACGCCCGGCTGGAGCTAGGCCTCTCGCTCGTGCTCGGCCTGGTCTTGGGCGCTGTGCTCCGCGAGGTCCTTGGCTGGACGACAAGACGACGCGCTCGGAGAGAGACCCAGTCAGTGGCCCATGGCAGCCTCGCGGACTGCCAAGGCCCTGGAGACCCTGCAGGTGGGCACACGGGTCCTCGCCTACTACGAGCAAGAGGACAATTACTGGCATGAACGGATTTTGGTCGGCAGGATCACCGCGACGAGATGGGTGGTGGTCACGCCGCACTTTGACATCTACGAGGAAGACTTCGCGGACGCCCTGCAGCTCTGTCCAGTCGGCCCCCTCGGGGGCCTGCCCGCGAAGCTCTCGGGCCACATCCTCCGCATGGACATGGGCCGCTACAAGCGGAACGAAGCCAGGCTGCTGGCTGAGGGCGAGCAGCTTGCTAGCGAGATCCGCCGGGAGGAGGGCCTCCCCGACGAGCCACTCGGGGCGCTCGCGCCACCGCCTGCACCTGGCGGGGCTCTCGCCGATCGCGCTGACGCTGGCGACGCTCCTCGCCGGGTTGCATTGGAGGCCCGAGCTGGCTCCCGACCAGGTGACGAGCTCCCAGCAGGCACCGTGCCCGTCGCCGTTCTTGGAGGTCGGGGGATCTGTGAGCTCGCCGATGGCACCAAGCTGGCAGTCGCGAAGGCCGACACCTACGAGGGCACTCCGACCCCCCGGCAGGAGCGTCAAGCTGCAGAGCAGGATCTTCGGACCCTTCCTGTCGAGTACGACGCCGGCGGCGCCAGGGTCAGGGACTTCGCCGAAGCGGTGGACATCATGTTCTCCAACCCGCAGCTGGACTTCCCTGTCCTTGGGCCGCGGACGACCTTGTGGCTGGCGCAGCAGTTCAAGCGGCTGGGCCAGACCCCCCTTCAGCGACACATGTAGTGGAGGCAGACCCAGAACCTCACCGCCGCGGATGCTGGAGTTGATGAACATCAGTTCCTTTCAGAGCTGCTGGAGATGGGCGCCGAAAAGGACCAACTCAATGAGGGCGAGCTCGCGACCTTCGAAGCTGTGCCCCGACGGCGCCAACTTTGGGAGGAGGTCTATGCCAACAGACTTCGTGAGCACGAGGCAGGCGCGGTTCGCAGTGCAGGGGGCTCAGCTTGGCTCGACGAGCGTGAGATCTTCTTGGGACAAGAGCGTGGGCGTGGTGGAGCTTTGGTTTGTCCTGCACTTCAGAGCTGGGTGGCAGCCCGTCTCCAGGAGGAGGCAGCAGCACTCAAAGAACGACGCAAAGGACGTGAAGAATAGATTCTTGCTCGAGGTGGTGCGGGGGAGAACAGCACAGCCAGGCCGAAGTCGAAAGCAGAGGCCAAGGGCGGTGCCGACGGGGCTTCCTAGCCCCATCCCTATATCGAAGTGGCTTGGTCGCCCGCCTGCCCCCGAGCGGTCGACTATTCTCAAGGGGAGGTGCTGGTCATACGGCACTATGTTTTGTGACGACGGCGGTGGGGGGCGCCATCGAGACTTACTTCCTATTCCGATCGGTCCGGAGCTGATGTCGATGCTGAGCGGCGGGGCTGCATGGGGCACTTCGCTCACAGCACGGAGGAGAGCTGCGACCAGGAGGCGACAGGATCAGTGGCTACTCGACGGCATCACCTCCCTCAACGAGCTGGGGGGGGCAGGGGCGCCATGTGCCCGCCCTCTCCCCGCTGACGGCGGCCCAGCGTGCTGCGGTTAGGCGGCTGGCCACGACCTACGGCAAATGGTCGCCGCCCGTTGATCGCCCTAGTCCCCATGAAGCGTGGAGGACGCTACAGGGTTTCAGGCCTGGCTACTCGGAAGTCGAGGCCGCCGGTTCTCGAACAGTCCACCAGCGGGGAAATATCTCTCTTCCCAAGATCGGCGCGGGCAAGGTGGCTCTTACGGAGGTCCTCCCCGCTGATCTGCAGACCAAGCTGGAGACTGGGCGCGGGCTGTTGCGATCCCCAGTGGAGGCAGCAGCGCTAATTCGTGATGCAGGTGCTCCTCGTGCCATGGGCCCGAAGCTCGGGCGGCTCGGCTACGACTACGGCCACGCGCTGGGGGAGCTCTACACCTCTGGAGTGATCGAGGCCAGCTCGGAGCCAGTGTTGGAGGAAGCTGGCATGTTTTTTGTGGCTCGCAAGGACAAGCGGTTGCGTCTCATCTGCGACACCAGGACTCCCAACATGCACTTTACCACTCCAGAGCACACGGCGCTCGCGACGGGCGAGGCGCTATCCTCGCTGGAGGCGTCAGGAGTCACTATGATCGGCATGAGTTCTGGAGACGTCGACTGCTGTTTCTATCAATATGCATTGCCGCCCTGGTGCAGGTGCTACTTCAACCTCCCGCTGATCGAGAGTCGCTTTCTGCCTCCAGAGGTTCGGGGCGCCTGCGGGCTGACGTTGAAGAGCGGCCAGGTTCGCTTTCGATTCAAGGTGGTGCCCATGGGATGGAGCTGGGCAGTGCACTTTATCCAAGAAGCACACCTTCACCTCGTCAAGTCAGTTTTGCCATCGCAGCCGTGGTGCTTGGACAAGTGCCCCGGCATCGACTTGAACTCTGAGGATGCCAAGGTCCTGTACATAGACAATTTTGCTGTGCTGTCTCAGTCGTCCGACCGCGCCGCCACCGCCGTCGCCGACATGCAGGCGGCGCTCGCGGCCAAGGGCGTGGTCTCAGAGCTAGACCCCGCCCCAGCCAGGCGCGGCGAGCTGCTGGGATGCGAGCTCGACTTGCAGACGGGCTGCTGGCACGTGCTGGGCCGCGGGCTATGGCGAGTCTACGGTGCCCTCGAGCATGTCCTCTCGGGTCGGGCCAAGGTCTCTGGCCAGGAGCTCGAGCGTCTGATTGGCCACCTGGTTTCCATCCTGATGCTGCGCCGGGAGGGGCTGGCCTTGCTGCACTCCTCATACGAGTTCGTGCAGGCCTCCTACTCCAAGAAGCAGCCGCTCTGGAAAAGCGTGACCCGTGAGATGGGCTGGGTCAAGGCGCTGCTACCTTGTCTTCGGGCCGACACCCGGCGCCCGTGGAGCGAGGTGGTCACTTGCTTCGACGCGCCCCCCTGGGGCTACGGCATCGTGGAGACCGAGTGGGACCTCGAGGACGTGCAGCGCGTCGGCCGGGCCTCCGAGCGCGCCCGATTCCGAGGCGTGCTCGCTGCCGAGGGCGCCCCCCGCGAGAGGGCGCTGGAGCAGGAGATAGCGCGGGCACCGGAGCCCGCCCTCCTGCTGGCAGGTCGCTCGGCAGGTTTCCCGGAGGTCGACTACGGCAAGATGCGCGCCCGGCCCTGGCGCGTAGTCGGCTGCGGCCGCTGGAAGCGCAAGGAGGCCATCCACGGACTCGAGGGGGCCGCTCTGACTTGGGCCGTCCGCCGGGCAGCTAGAGACGCTCGGGGGCACTGTTCTCGCCGACTCTTTCTTGGCGATAACATGTCCCTCACTCTCGCTGCTGCCAAAGGTCGCGCTGCCAGTCATCGTCTCTTGGGAGTCTGTCGGGTCCTTTTTGCAGTGGGAGTCGCAGCATACCTGAAGGTTCAGGTGAGGTGGCTCCCCTCAGAGTGGAACCCAAGCGACGGTCCGTCCCGACGCTTTCAGCCTCAAGGCCCCAAGAGCGTGCATGGAGGTGGCGACGCTCCGGGCGGTGCCGCCCACGCCGGTGGCCTCGGCGAGCTGCCGCTCCGGCCCTCGCGCGCCGAGCGAGCGCAGGAGCCGTTCGCCTCGCCGCCCGGGCAGCCGCAGCCAGGGCATGCCGAGGCGGGCCGTGGTGCCGGTGCTGGCCGGGCCCGGGAGCAGGCCAGACTTGGCTGGGCGGCGCGCAAGGCTTGGCCTCAGTCACTCGGAGAGCGATTTCGACCTGAGGAGGCGCCAGCTGTGCCCGCGCCAGACCCGCCTTGCGGCTGCCAAGGTCAGGCCTCGCACGCAGGAGCTCTACCTCGGGATGATCCTCGGCTTGGTGCGCTGGCTGAATATGGCCTTCCTCCCGGACTGGCCGCGCCACACGTGGGGCGAGACGCTGGCAGAGTACGCCGAGTCAATCTACGACCGTGGGGGCTCCAAGGCGTCTACTCAGCGGCTGGCCCCGGCGCTGCTCTGGGCGGAGCCCGCCCTCCACAGGGCTGGGATCCGCGAGGTCTTCCCCCTGACGCACCAGACGCTGAAGGGCTGGAACGTCCTGGAGCCGTCCAAATCCAGACCGCCCGTCCCGTTCCTGGCGGCGCGGGCAGTGGCCTGCTGGCTGTGCCGGGCTGGGAAGCCGCTCAGTGGCTTGGCCGTTCTGATCATGTTCGAGACCTACATGCGCCCCTCGGAAGTGCTGGCCCTGCGAGCAAGGCAAGTAGTCGTGCCGCTGCCAAAGGAGGGAGGCGCATCGATCTTCTTGACGTTCGTGGTGCGGGCCTCGGAATACGAGATCCCGACCAAGACCAACACGTACGACCTCTCAGTTCCACTCGACCTGCCCAGGCAGCAGTGGATGGTGGACCCGATCTCCTTTGTGCAAGCCCTTCGCGGGCCAGACGACCTCTTCCTGGGCCTGGGCTACAACCAACTGGCGGAGGACTTCCAGAGCGCGACCTCCGCTCTGGGTGTGAGCTTACTCAAGGCCACCCTCTACTCCCTCCGGCATGGAGGGGCCAGCCGCGACCGGAGCACGGGCGCCAGAGGCTTGGGCGCCGTGCAGCAACGAGGGGGGTGGAAGGCGTTCAAGTCCGTGCTGCGCTACGAGAAGCACGGACGCCTCTCGCTGGAACTTCGCAAGCTCAGCGACCAGCAGCGCGAGGCCCTCCGAGCAGCAGGCGGGGACTACGTGGGCGTCTTCAACAAGTCCTTGGTGCTGCATTTCGGAGCGCCCCCCATCAGACAAGAGTGTGCATCGAAGTCTTCTCGGGATGTGGGGCGCTGAGCAAACAGCTGAGGCAGAGAGGTGAGGCTGTTGTTGAATGGGGCATCCAGCACGGTGACCATTTCGATTTGTCTCGACCGGGGGTCTGGAGGATCCTCCGGGGATGGCTGACTTCTGGACTGGTCAAACTCGTTTTCCTAGGAACTCCTTGTGGCGGGTACTCGAGGGCCCGTCGGGCCCCCCCGTCCAGCAGCATGCCCTCGGCTCTCCGGAGCCCCGCTTTTGTTCTTGGGATCCCGGGCCTCACTTGTAAAGACCTCGAGAGCCTTCGCGTCTCTAACAAAGTAGGGTGGGTCTCACAGCGTATTCATCGCCTCTGCTATAGGTTAAATATTCCGGGCGGCGAGGAGAACCCCTGGCAAAATTTCCTGTGGCTTCGCCCCGACCGCCGCGCCTTCGCTAAGCTTCCCAATGTCTGTGATAGGGTTGTCGATTACTGTGCCTGTGGTCGCCCCTTTCGTGCTCGCACTCGGACAAGGTTCTGGAAGTGCAGCCCACACCCTGGTCTAGATAAGTTAGTGTGCAAAGGCAGAGGGGTTTGCTCCTTTACCGGTAAGCCTCACCTTGAGCTCTCCGGTTGCTTTTCTGAGGGTGGTTTTCTCACCCGTCTCAAAAACGCCTACCCCCCGCCCTCTGCGCATTCCTGGCTGACACACTGCACCGAACGTGTATAGCACAGCATTCCACCGAAAGATGGAAACGAATGCGGGGTTAAGCCCCAGCACAATGCTTGAGTGATGGATTCTGTTTCAGGTTGAAGTATGGCAGATCTGTGTCGCACTAGCCAGCCTAGCTTGCCCGCGCTTCGTTCGAATCCTCAAGCAGTCTGAGCCACTGGCAAATAAAGCGATCATGTAAGTGATGCACGAGAATGATTGCTAATGTCTGTCGCCTTCTCGCTCAAGGCATTTCTTTCGGCCCACGCCAGCCCAATGCCTCGTTTCAATGGTACCTTGAGCAGATCTGTGTCGCACTAGCCAGCCTAGCTTGCCCGTGCTTCGTTCGAATCCTCAAGCAGTCTGAGCCACTGGCAAATAAAGCGATCATAGCATTTGTACCGCGTGCTAGCTCAATTGTCCTCTTCTGAATCCCGCTCGGTTTAACGTCCTGCCCGCTCGTATGATAACCTGCGCGCTCATTGTAAAGTCGCGTTCGCCGGGTCTGTCCGCCCGGCGCGACCCCAGCGAAGCGAGATTGGCAACGCGAGATGGGGGAAGCGAACCAAAGTGCAACAACAAAAAAGATGGCCCCAAGGTGTCGCAGGAAGCCGCCGAGACGCTTCAAGGTGCCTCCCACAGGCCTATCAAAATGCCCCCCAAGAGGGCAACACATTCCAATTCCTTTGGGAACGTACATTTTTAGCAGAAGCACCTTTTCGTTTTTCCGACGCTCCAAACAGTCCAAGAAGCCCCGAAGACCGCCTTAACGCAGCCCATGAGGGCCCAACAGACCCCAAGACAACCCAAGAGGGACCCAAGACAGCCCAAGAGACACCCAAGATGGCCCAAGAGGGCCCCAAGACGGCTTTAAGAAGGGGCCCAGACGGGGGATCCGAACGGACATCTGGGCCCTCGGCCCCGAGAGGCCCCCAGGAGGCCCCAAGAGGCGCCCGGGAGGCCCCCAAGACGGCGCCGCCAGAGGCCCCCAAGGGGCCCCCAAGAGGCTCCCGAGGGGCCCCCCAAAGGCACTGAACCGGGCCCCAAGAGCCTTGGAACTGCTTCCAGGAGGCCCCCAAGAGACCTGCCACGAGATCCGAACGAACTGTTCAGATGCTTCAATGAGGAGCGCCAGACGCCTCCAGGACGACCCCGGATGGCCAGTTGTCGTCGCCGAGTTCGTTCGTCGTCGTCGTCGTCGTCGTCGTCGTCGTCGTCGTCGTCGTCGTCGTCGTCGTCGTCGTCGTCGTTGTCGTGCGGAGGTGACATGACCACCTCAGCTCATGACATCTCAGAGTCCACAGTTTACGAGGATGTCATAGGCGAACGTGGCTGGACCACCATAGGACAGGGCATGAGGTCAGAGTTGCAAGGATATCTCAGGCCAATGTGTCCTGACCACCTCAGCTCAGGGCATCTCGGAATCCAGGGTTCCCCGGATGTCCCAAGCGAAAGTGGCCGAGCCACCATGGAGCGTGGTATCTCCTAGGTCAGAGTTGCGAGGATGTCTGAGGCGAAATTTGACTGACCACCCCAGCTCAGGGCCTCTCGAAACCCAGAGTTTCGAGGATGTCCCAGGCGAAAGCGGCCGGACCACCAGGGGGCAGAGCATCCTCGAGGTGAGAGTTGCGAGGATGTCTAATGCGGAAGCGGCCTGACCACCTGAGCTCAGTGCATCTCATCACCCACAGTTGCAGGGCCGTCTCAGGCGAGAAGCAATGACCACAATCAGGCAGGGCATCTCAGAGGTCAGGGTTGCGAAGATGCCTCAGGCAAAGGTGGCCACACCACCTCAGCTCAGGGCATCTCGGAAACCCGAGCTGCGAGAATGTCATAGGCGAAAACGACCGGACCACCATGGGGTAGGGCCACACCACCTCCGAAGTGTTTGAATATCTCAGCGGTGCTCGCGTCGTGCACCTTCCTCGCGTGGGCTATTGCTTGGACCTCGCATGGCCAAGCCCTGCTCTGCACCATCCCTCTTGTGCGCCTTGCCTTGTACTCTCTCACTCTGCGCGAACCCTTTCATTCTATTAGAAGTATCATCGGCCGCGGCCATCCGACGCCCCAAAGAAACACACTTAGGCTTCCCTCCTCCCCTGTCCCCCTCTTGACTCCATATGTCCTCGTGCATTTTTTTTCCTGGCGTTCTGCTCCATGGTAGCTTCATAGCAAATCCCGTCCCTGAGCTTGGCTAGAACCGAAGCGCGCGCGAAGCGCGCATGCTTCTAGTTGTTATATACGTGTATACATATATTCATACATTTATGAAGCACGAGCGATATATTCATCTATATGTATATGTGTGTATGCATATGTGTATGTGTGTATACATGTATGTATGCATGCATGAATGTATGTAGGTATATATGTATGTACGTACATAGGTATGTATGTATGTTTGTATGTGTGTATGTGTGTATATGTATGTATGTGTGCATGCATGTATGTATACATGTATGTGTGTATGCACGTAATACATGTAATGCATGTATGTGTGTATATGTTTACGTATGTATGAATGTAGTTATGCAGGTATGCGTGTATGCAAGTATGCATGTATGTGCGTATGCATGTATGTGTGTATGTATGTATGTATGTATGTATGTGTGTGTATGTATGTATGTATGTATGTATGTATGTATGTATGTATGTATGTATGTATATATGTATGTGTGTATGTATATATGTATGTATGTAGGCATGTATGAACGTGCGTTTGTATATATGGGTGTGCATCTACGTATGTACGTACGTATGTATGTATGCATTCATGCATGTGTGTATCCATGCATGCATGTATGTTTATGTATGCATGCATGCATGCATGCATGTATGTATGTATGTATGTATGTACGTATGCATAGATGTACGTGTGAATGTGTGTATGCGTATGTGTGTATGTATGTGTATATAGCTGTATACACATATATGCATTTTCATATGTATACACACATGTACACACATATGTGTGTGTATGTATGTAAGCATGTCTGTCTACATGCATGTATGTATGTATGTAATGACGTACGTACGTACGTACGTAAGTATGTATGTATATATGTATGTATGTATGTATGTATGTATGTATCTATGTATGTATGCATGTATGTATGTATGTATGTATATATGTATGTGTATGTATGCATGTATGTTGACATATGTATATATATACACATATATATACAACTGTATGTGTATATATATGTATATATATATATATATCGCATATCGGAGTTGGCCTGGGGGGGGCCAGGCCGGTGCCGTACCCCCCCATGGGGGTATTGGGGGGGTCCCAGGGCTCCCAGGACTGCTCGGGCCCGCTCCCAAACACGCCACGACATGCCAAGAGGGCCCTAAAGATTGCTAAGACAGCCCCAAGAAGCCCCGGACGCGCCGAAGATGGCCTCAGGACGGCCGACGACGCCGCCAAAATGCCCAAAGAGCGCCTCCAGGGGCTACAAAGGGCCCCAGAAGCCGAAATTCATAAATTGTCCTATGGTTTTTGAAGCATTTTTGCGCTCTCGCATGTTCCGCCTCCCCACGGTCCCGGACGGCGTCAGAGGCCCTTCAGATCGCTCCAAGACGGCCGAATAGGCCCCCAAGAAAGCCCGGAGACGGCCCAGGAGGCTCCCCAGATAATTCAAGAGGGCCTCGAGAGCGCCCCAAGAGAGCCTCAAGAGCGACCCAAGAGGGCCCGAAGAGCGCGACATCATTTCAGGGTTTCGGCCTGAGAGGCTCCTAGGACGCCCCGGGAGGCCATCAAGAGGCTCCCCAGAAGCCCCGCGAGGCTCCCAAGAGGCCACCCGGAAGCCCCAATAGGCCCCCAAGGCGCCCCCAGGGAAGCTCCTTGCGGGCCCCCAAGACACCTCGGTAAATCGTATTTCCCGGGCAGTTTTCCGGGAACATGATTCCTTGGGTTTCCGCCCACCGCCCCAACCATGTTTCTAATGGGCTTGCCGACAAGGCCAAAAGGGGCCCATCGGCAAGCCCCCAGAGGCCCCCCTCTCAAAAGAGCCGAGCAAATCGTGCTCCCGGACAGCTTCCCGGGAACATGATTCTCGGGTTGCCGGCCTCTGCCCAAACCATGTTCCCTAAACGCCTGCCAGGAAAGTTATCTTGGCGAAGGACCCAACCAGATGCAGTTGTGAGTAACGCGTTGTGCGTGCCGCTTGCGGTGGAGCTTCGTATAAGGCCACGAAGCGCGTGAGGGACGTGCCGTAATGGGTGGGGGAGAGACGCACGCGGGCGGTGCCACTGGGGCATCCGGTGGGGCTCCCGGTAG